ACGTATCAGTAAACTAACTAATCTGCTGAAGTCAAGCGTATATTTGTTATTAAAAGTAAAACTTCCTTAGTAAGACAATGCGTGGAAGTCAAATCTCACTTACCAAGGATACACGAAAGAAACGACAACGTGAATATGTGTACACAATTAGAAACATTAGAAAATCCTCAATAAGATACTTTACAGAAGTCATATATCAGTTACCACGGATTTATGACCAAGACTAGAACGTCCTTAATAAGATAATATGCTCAAAACACATATTACTCACCATGAAATACTTTCTAAAGTAAAACGTTCTCAGTTAGATAATCTTGTGAAATCACATTCACTCACCATGGGTTTCTTACTAAAAGTAAAACGTTCACAGTAAAATAATGTGGCAAAGTCACATCTACATCTCATTCACAATGAATTAGTTACAAAGACTCACTAATATAGTCTGCTGAAGTCACATTTCACTCACTGTGTATTTGTTACTAAAAGCAAAACGTCCTTAAGAAGAAAATATGAGGAAATCATGTCTCACTTATCAAGGATATTATCAATAAAACACAACATTAGAATGGGTAAACAATTAAAAACAAAAGGTTCTCAGTAAGATGATATGCTGAAGTCACACCACACTCACGATAGATTTATCAAGGATATTATCAATAAAACACAACATTAGAATGGGTAAACAATTAAAAACAAAAGGTTCTCAGTAAGATGATATGCTGAAGTCACACCACACTCACGATAGATTTGTTATCAAAAATCAATGATCAATGTTATCAAAAATCAATTTCGTATCTTTGCTTCATTTAAAATATTGCATGATATGCTTAATGCTTTTTTTTTGTCGGACAGCTTCTACAGAATTATTACTTTTTGATGCATGTGTAAAATTAAGTCACTTCGTCACAAGTGAATTCGTTGATTAAATACTAGTTCATTGTCATTTATTCTTCCAACATTTCCAGTCACTTTCCCTTTTCAATAAATTTGCTAACTTGTTAAGATTCTTTGTCACATCCAAATACGTTAAGTCACTCACAATAGTGTTTAATGTCGCCCTTCTTTTAACGTATTAAGCCACTTTGTGTCAATTTAGAAGTGTTAGGTCAGTTACAATAATTTCCATTGCTGTCCGTCTCTTAACTTAATAAGCTACTTTAGATAACAACTAAATGCGTTAAGTTGCTTACAATAATTTCTATTGTTGCTCAGTCTGCTAACTTTGTTGATTAGGTTTTGGTTTCCGTAATGGAGTAGATTATTCAAAAAAACGTCAAGGCCGCTTATCTCAAACGAAAGTTCTTCAAAGTAAATATACTTTTTAATCGTAATGTTTTACGTATTATCGTTTGTGTTCTTTAAAATAATCTAATATAACTTTTCAGATTTCCGAATGACACTTTAAATTACATCTGCAAACAACTTTGCTCTCCAGGTTAAGACATCAACGTTTAGTAAAACTTTAAAACGAAAATATGTCTGAATTTCCAGTTTTATTTAATATAATTCTTCCCGAATATCTGTTTCTCTACAATAACTATGTTAGAGTGACTCATTCAGCGTACTCTTAATAATAGTGATATTTTAGCAATTGGAATTATCATAAGAATCTTCCAAAATACTCATAGCAACCATAGTCTAATTTTGTTACCAGTAGAGTAGTTAAGGCGGATATGGTTACTAGAGATGAAACGTTTACTCACAGTTAATACCCTCTGTTTATGATTGGATTATTTGGATATATATACACCTGGAAAAAAGTTAAGCACCCCCAAATATTTTTCAGGATTGCTTATTGAAAATAAGGTTTAATTTTCATGATGTTGAGCAATGTTCATAATTTCAAACATAATTAAAAAGGATAGT